ATCTCTACACTGATTTCAAGTTGATGAAGGCCCGTCTTGCTTTTCCGATCCCGGTTTTGACACCCTCATCTGTGCCACCTGTGGTTGAAACTATGCTTTCTAGGTAGATGAAAGAGACTACTTCCTTTAAATTTCTCCTGTTGATGGTGACTGGCGCTTGTTGTTGTTGGTTGAGTATCTTCATCACCTATTTCTTCTTATACTTAGTATATTTACCACTTCATCATCATTCTGCTGTACTTCCCCGTTTATTGGTCAAATGACTAATCTCCGTCACCATTATCATTGTTTTCGTCCAATTATTACTCTAACCTCTTTTAGCTTTACACTGTTACCAAGCTTCTTGATTGATATTTATCAACCCTGTTCAAAATGATGTAGTTTTTAATCCTTTCAACATTCACACTTTCACTGTTACCATTATCATTATTATCACTCACCTGTATTATCTCTATTATAACCAGTATTTTCTGTTATGATAAAGATGGATATTGGCTATCAGTAAAAGTAATTATACTAATTTTTTTGTTTACCCAACACCTATACTCCCTTAATGTATACCTTTATCAAACTATCTAGTTGACTTTCAGTTGTCATGTTCGAAATGATCCAATCCATTCCAAGTCCTTTTATTTTTCACTGTCAATTTATTACCTCCTTCAAACTTAATCTTAGTTCTGCTTGACATAAGTAAATGAAATATGCCGGTAAAATGATGGGATTGTAATGGGATCCCCTTTGGGACACCTAATGGCAGACAGCTGTATGTTAAAATCAGAAAATTTTAATCATAGTCAAACTATTCATCATTTTGAAATCGATAAACGATAAATGGATGACATATTCCAAGTTGTTATTCATCGAAGACTGACATCAGTTGGAGGAACAAAGGAAACCTGGGAGCACTGGACAGCTGTTTCGTCCTGGTATGGGACTCCTCAGCAGTTTGCACCCATGATCCCGCCAGGGATTGAACCCGCGACCTTCAAGTTCCGTGGCCAGCGTGACGATATATTCGTTATTTGTTACTCAACTATCGACCTGGATGACATCTTATGCGAATTTAACAACTGGCATTCATAGTTGAAATTCACTATTGTAAGGGAATCGGAATCAGTTATTTCGTTCCTTGACGTGCAGTGGAACGCTGAAAAGATCTATCCACATGAAACCCACATGGAATGGATAGCTTACTAATTTCTATATCTGGGTGTCTATCATGGGCAAAAGAAACCCCATTCACTCACTGTGCTATCGAATACGTAATATTTATAGCACAGACTGTGTACAAGTTGCACTCGACTTTCTAAGAGGGGCGCTTGCAGAAAACATCTGTCCTAACCAATTTGTTGACAAGAAAACGAGAGAAAGACATGATAAGTTAATTATCAGCTAAGTTTCTGAAAAGATGTTATACATGAGTCTGGAATGTAAAGGTGATCCAGCATCAGATATCCTGAAAAAATGGTCTTTCGAGATCAGTTAGTAGGACTCTTTTCTCAGCTACACCTCATTTGATGTTTACCAGTCGTAAAAGAAAATATCCCTCAATAGGCTATATTCACGTATATCTACCAGTTCACCTGCTCTTGTGGAGCAAAGTAAATCGGCCGTAATCAGAGACTGACGTCAACACGTATACGAGAACATATTCCTGCATGGTTTTATAAGGGTGGAATTAAATGCATCAGGAGTTCTACCCTTGAACATTTAATCGATTCCAACCATTCAACAGATCCAAACAATGATTTTAAGGTTGTCTATCGAATTCACTCAAACATCTCACTTTTCTTCGGTGTTCAAATTCTAATAAATAGTATAGGCCTTGGCTATCCATGAACTAAAACCTGACCTTAATGTGCAGTAGAAGCATGTACAGTCTTGATTTGTTGACCTTAACTTATTTCGGTCTTAGTGTGCTTCGTTCCTCTATCCTTTTTCGTTTTTCAACCTCCCCCTCCCCACTTTTTGTTAGGTTAATCTTTGTGCTCTCATATAGTCATTTTCACTTTGTTTTTATATTTAATTGTTTCTGGTGTTATTTCATTTGATCTTCCTAATAATTGCAACTTTTGGTTGCATTGTATTCTCTGAGCTGGGTTGTTTAATTTTGAAGCTTTCATCGTCCTTCTAGACGACATCATCAACACTAACTTCAGTATGAAATGAGCTGTCAGTATCTCTCCGTCAGTGATTTAGTGGCTTGCTCTGACAATGTGATCTGTGATTGGTTGTTTCCTTTGATTGTTGTGTCATTGATTGCATAGACGTTCCTGTTGGCTGTTCCTCTGCTTGACCTCTCACCTTTCTGTCTTGTATCATTCTTCTTATTGGTTGATAGATCAGGTCCATGTCTATACATCTGTTGATTGCTGACTGACTGATCTGAATGCCAAGCTTCAGGAAATCCTCTAATATTCTTTATGTTTCCTCTCTCCCTCCAAAATTTCAACATTGTCGAAATTGAATTCATGTCCATAGTTGTTATCCATGTGCATTGAAATAAGTGATGAAATGTCGTGGCGTTTAATAGCCAATTGATGCTCATGTAGACGAAGACGAAGAGGGCGGTCGTTTTGTCGCGACTTTTAACAAAACATTTTCAATTTATCTTAATTCACTTTTGTCATTTATATAACCTAGTCACCATTTGATTGTTTAATAAATCTACCATGTTTTCATCCACTTTTTAGTCTATATGCACCTTATCAACGATTTAAAAGTCTTACACAACACTTTTTGTTATCATTCGAGCTTTACGTCATCAACTAGCAACATTATAAGTAGATAAATTACTCTGTGCTGCCAAACCTCATTCAGTGTCTTAGTCTGTATTATGTGTGTACGTCTTACTTCAATGTATAACAGTATATAAAATCAAGTAGGTAGAGAAAAAAGTTGATAAGTCCTACAGAAATTTATGAATTCAATGAATCCTGCTTTAATTACATCTGTTTCTTATTTTAAATTTGTATTGAGAAACAAATATTTTCATCTCTCATCATCCCATTTCCTCCGTCATGATATCTTCAAACACTACTGTTAAGTGGACCAAGTAGTGCGAAAACTGTGGTATTTTAGTACCGTTTTAAAAAAAATCGACAAAGTTACAGTTTACGGTCTGTCTTCAAATGAAAAGATTCTGTTTACTAATATAGCGATAGCGTCGACCGGAAAGAAATTTGGCAGCTGCTACTTCAACACTACACTCTCACTACCACAAACATATATCAAACTCATTCTACAACTATATGCTCACAATATTGTGAGGTTACATCCTAAGTCATTCACAATGGAAAGCTCACTGATGACTTCAAAGTAAAGATGGGAAGGAGTAAGGCAAGGTTGTCGACTACCACCATCTATCATCTTCCTGATTGTCGTCCAATGTACTCGACTAGATCACCCAACAAACAACTGTGAAGAACGAAAAGATGGTCATAAGCTGTGTGGACCGATGAAATAACACCAGAGGAAGATTTGGATCTCCCCAATCATGATTCATGTACAATGTCTTGTTGCACAAACGCGAAGATCTACAGGCGAAAGCTAACAAGTTAGCAGAAGAGGGGAGGCGAGGCGGTGAAGGAAGACGGGACTGACTTCAAGTGAGCCTATAGAAGACATAGGTGATGAAGATACTCAATCACCACCACCATCACCACCACCACCACCACCAACAACAACAAGCACCAATCAACAAACACTAATCACCATCATCAAGCGAAATCGAGAGGACGTTGTCTCATCCACCTACCCTCCTACCCACCTACCTCAGCACCATCGTTTCAAACACACGTGGCGGTGGTGGCACAGATGATGATGTCAAAGCATCCAGCATCGGAAAGACATCAACACAGGTCTTCCTTCATTAATCCGAAATCAACGTGGAGGTCTACTCATCTCCACTTCACTCAGCATAAAGCGTCAACAGTATCCGGATTTTCAGCATTAATGTCAGTCATGTCACTGCTTCCATGTGGTGGTTGAGAGACTAGGCGGCACGTCACGAAAAACATTTCCAACAAACAACTACAGACACACATCATCAACAGCTGCCACCTACTCTCACTCAATACTGACACTAACACTGACACTGACACTGACATTGAAGATCAGATAGATGACCAGAATAATGAGAATAAGCAACAAGTAACTCACTCTGGCTGGTAAGCAGCCAACCCCAACCAACAACCCATCACCCAACAAATATACAGAAGAGGGTGGAGATCGATTGGGTTGGATTGGAGTGGTCATACACTGAGAAGACCATTTGGAGGTATCACGTGCCAGGCTGGCCTGGGCTGGGCTGAGCCAGACCGGACCAGCCCAGACCCTTGAGTGGAAGTGAAATGGGAAAGGAGACGTTGGATGTCCCAGTTGAGGGTGACATGGAGGAGATTGTGTGAGGAGGAAATGAAAGTTTGTGGGGAGTTGTGGAGCCATGTTGTAAAGATTGGAGAGAAGGGGGTGAAATGGTGACATGTTACTGAATCCTCCTGTCCCACTAGGAATCAAAAGGAAAATTAATAATAACATATAAATAAATAATTTATTGATTAATGAATAATGATTAGTGATAGAATAATGAGTAATAATTTCTCTGATTCGTCCAATTTATGTTCAAATCGATATATGTGTATACATAACAACATAATGGATGTAGTCAGTGAAATAATGAAGTGTGTTTTAGAACAAAATTCAGTTTTGATTATCAACTAAGAGATTTGAAAAAAGAATTACATAATGTTTAAAATGGTAATGAAAAGGAAACTTATCAAGATGAATTTATTAGGTTATATGACGTAATATTGTCAAAGAGACTGGTGATAATAATGAGAAATAAAAATTTTAGTGATGGAAGAAGTTTATATTACAAGATGAATATGAACAGAATGAATATAAATATATCATAGAGATAGTTGTAGGTGGGAGTAACAGTAGGAGAAAAATAAAACGATTATTTTATCTTCAGCGTTGAATACGAATCTTATCATAGTTCACAAGCAATTTGAGTTTTTAATCTACAAGTGATAAAAAAAAAGAAGAAAATTGTAACAGAATACTTAAAATTTAATAGTAGTATTCTAGAAATCAGCATCCTATGAAATTTTGCATATCATGTTGGTATTTTTAGTCCGTTAGTGCAACTGTCGGTTCTAATGGATCTGTAAAAGGAGAGAATCCGTTCGATTTGTGTATACAAAACAGATCCAGTGCCAGTTGTTAGTAATTTGATTGACAACAACGCATATCGAAAAGATTGAAACATGAATATTTGCGAACGATATGTTTTACGCGTACCATGATCAGCAAACTGGAAAACCAAAAGAAGCATGACTTGAAGAAAGTGTGTGGTATGTTCTCTGGGATTCGTGATGCAGAGAAATATGTGAAGAACGTACAGTGTCTAACAATTGAATGATATATTGAAGGGAACAAATTGAGGTTACTGCATATTCATCATGGACTGACATCAGCTGGAGAAACGTTGGAAACCTCGGAGCATTGGTAAGATGTTTGTTTCACACTCATGATCCAACCCTATTAGGTCCCATGGTCAGCACATTACCATTGAGTCACTGGGTTGGAATCCAGTGACTCATGTTTCTTACCTCTATCAGTTCTCGATACAGCATACCTTCAATCCAGTGCCGTCGTTAAGTGACTGTCCTCATGTTCGACTTAACTGGTCCCCCTTGATCACAACTTCTCATTGGAACCCCAGGAATCACGTCTCGAAGGTAGTCACCAATCAGCACTCATAACTGTTAATCAAAGTATCGATAACGGCGCCAGAACCACTGTCTGATATAACATCGAACTAGAGTCAAGGTTTCTTATCAAATCATTTAAGTTTTACTATGACTGATTTAGTAAAAAAGAGACTATTTCTAAACATATAAAATATCTACAGATATATCACATCACCATCTGATCTGACGGACGAGGACGTCAAAGTCAGAATCGGAAAAGCAAGACAGGCGTTCATTAGCCTGAAACCAGTGTGGAGATCTTCTGCACTCAGCATGCGGAACAAGATACGGATTTTCAACACCAACCCAGTCAAGTCAGTGCTCTTGTATGGCTCAGAGACTTGGCGCGTCACGAAAGGCATTTCCAATAAACTACAGACATTCATCAACAACTGCTTACGCTCGCTGCTAAAGATCAGATGGCCAGAAAAAATAAGCAACAAGGAACTCTGGCTGGTGACGAACCAACCAAGAACCTATCACCCAACAAATATGCAGGAGGAAGTGGAGATGGATTGGACATACACTGAGAAGGCCGACTGAGGACATCACGCGTCAGGCCAGTTGCTCGAGTGCAATCCCCATGGGAAGCGACGAGTTGGACGTCCGAGGGTGACATGGAGGAGGTCATGCGAGGAGGAAATGACAGCTTGTGGGCTGTCGTGGAACCAGGTTCAAAAGATCTCAGAGAACAGAGGTCACTGGAGGCGTGCTACTGAAGCCCTATGTTCCACTAGGAACCTAAGGGACTAATAATAATAATAATATCTGATCAAGTCTTGAAATCCTTAGGAATACTACTGCTATACTGTAAACAAATGTTTCAGTGATTCGAAACAAATTTTGCAGTGATATTTCAAGTGAAAGTTTTATTTATTCACCAAAACTCATGGAGTATCTTTAAAAGAATAAATACGTAGACTTTATAAAATTAGTTCTGTAGATATCATTGATCTTGGTGAAGAAACATCTACGACAAGATATCAAAAGTCAACGACTATCAAAAACTATCATCACCATCGTGTTGAACTATAAATCTTCTCCATTATCCCAGAACATTTTGCTAAAACTTTAAAAAAAATAAAGAGCTATTGACTTCATTTGAAACCCAAGAAGAAAATACTGCTGATAAACCAACACATGTAGTAAAGATTGTAAAAAAGAATACCAGTTAATAACCTTGTGTGTACATAACTGATTCAAGTATTTTATACCGCCAATATAACTAACCTCCTGTCACTTTCATCTGTTTGTATAAATAACTAACTCATGATGACTTTGTATAATATATGGTGATATTGTTCACTAGTTCAACACTCAACTTTTGATGATTGATGTACAAATTCCAACTACGCTTCCTCTAAGGAAGCTTTGACGGTTTTATATTGCCACTAACCATTATATATATATATATATATATATATATATATATATATATGTATATATATATATATGTATATATATATATATATGTATATCATATATATATATATATATATATATATATATATATATATATATATATATATGGTAAAAGAGAACCAGTAATTTGAAGACAGATAATACAAAACCGCTAAGGTGGTTTCTTTTTCAATAATCATATAGTATACAGTAAATTTATGTAGTGAACACGAATCATCATATCTCAAGAATCTCCTCATTCAAAGTCACTTATAAAGTGATAAGAAACCTTCCAATGGCTGTATATCTTCATATTCTCTGAATCACCAAAGCACTTGCCATCCATATGGAGAAACCTTTCACAGTCTTAGTTTTCAGTCTTCTCTAACCCCCTTTTTTATTTTTATTTTTCTGCTTTCATACTATTGACTTCTTAATTAATTTGCTACTCATTCTTGTTGAGATGGTCTACCTGATCACAATTCAATTTCTAATTATTTCTTCGTCATGTTATGAAACTTATTGTTCAAACTTATTTTGATTCATATTCATTAGTCATCAATTTTGAGTTACTTTAATGGCTACCTTAGCAACTGATGAAACAACCAATCATGTTTCTTTATTTTATGAAAAACTGTCTTCTCAGCTGAAATACTGTAACCTGATTGGTTACTTTGGGAGTTGTTAGGTTGGCCTTTAAAGTAACCCTCAGTTTTTGTTTTTTAAAGTTTAACGACGGCTCATTTATTGACGCACTTTGTGTTGCCATGCTAGATAAACATTTTTTAACTATCAAATCCTTAATTTGGTTGGTTGTGGCTAGCAGGACAATCCATGACTCATGTCTCGTCCCATTTGGGACTCATCGGCTGGATGTACCTGCACTCCAGTGATGTTGTTCCCACTGAGACTCAAACCTCATACCCATCGCTTCAAACCTCAAGGCGTTATCCACTATGTCACAGAGGCATCCGTATAGGAGCCCATATGTCAATAGAAGTCGAACAATTCGATCCAACAAAACAACGGAGAATAACAAGTATGTCAATAAATAGTAATATGAGATTCTTATATTAGAAAAAAAAGTATAAATCTGAGATTGTACCAGCTTTGAAGATGAAATCACCAAGAAAAGAGACTTTTCACTGAAATAAACTTGTTCTTCTTCTTTGATATCGTAAAGAGTATATTTCAAAAATCTATGTAGTAGTAATTTTTCTCCCTTCTGATGCTTTACAAACACTTTGCATTTAAACAACCTTCCAATGTTAGTATAATTGTTTTTATATGATATCGTCGTTGATTGGACCGAATTGATCGATCTCTATTGGTATATAGGCTCCTATGCGGATGCCTCGATATTGCCAGACTTCTATTTATATTAATGATGGATCGTGGCTATCAGTGGAATCCAGGATACGTATTTCGTCCAGCTGATGAGTCCCAAATAGAACGAAATGCGCATCCTGAATTCCAATACTAACCACAATTCATCATTAACCTTCCAATATTGGTTGCATTAAATCAAATTAATGCATAGTTGCATTATAAGTAAACTTTTACAAAGTCTTATCAATCAAACATTCATACTTCATTAATGAACAGTGTTTATATTATGGCTAAGCATAATTATGAGACTTGTTGAATCAGTCTAAAAGTAGACAGTTTGATTTTAACCTTCTACTAGTGTATACAACAGTTTCGATTCAAAATCTTATCAAATGAATATATCCAAGAAGTTTATTGTAACAAATATTTGACAACATCTTGATAATATTTCGAAGTTTGAAATATTCAAACAAAAATATAAACAAATATTAAGAATTCCAAGAAAGTTGAAAATTTCAATAAAATATAAGTAATATTTTAATTATAATTATGCATACTTTAAAGACGTTTTTGAATTTCTACAAAACGAAAACAAGCCAAAAAGTATTCCAGATTAAATGATTTCAAATCATCATTTCTGAAAACATCTATCAATTTAGATATAACACATTTTAATCGAATTATTCTCCAGTTATCTCCAAATGATTCTAGTCTATTCAATAATCCATAAAAGTTGACGTTACCTAAAGAGAAGAGAAAAATATTAAAAAAAACAAGAAAAAAACAGTTGAATGCAGAAAAGTTTCTTTAAGGCAACAGGCGATCGAGTGGAATCTAGATGAGAAGCGATAAGTTGGGCATCCGAGGTGAGGGTGACATGAAGGAGATAATGCGAGGAAGAAATGAAAGCTTCTGGGCTGTCGTAGAACCAAGTTCAAAGTTTGCAGAGAAGAGAGTGGAATGGGGACATGCTACTGAAGCCCTATGTTCCATTAGGAACCCAAGAGACAAATAAATAATCAATAATTCAAAGTTGAGGTTCTTTTTCTGAAATAAAATGTCATAGTAGTAAACTTCATGATATATCTGTTCTAGTTAGGCCTAATGGCTTGATCCATATATCAGGATTAAACTAGACAAAATTAGCTTCAACATATGGCGTAAGCTAGAGAGTTTTTGAAAAGGTCTTCAATAGCGTTCATCGAGAAGTAATTTGGCAGCGGCTACTTCAACACTACACTCTCACTACCACAAACATATATCAAACTCATTCTACAACTATATGCTCACAATATTGTGAGGTTACATCCTAAGTCATTCACAATGGAAAGCTCACTGATGACTTCAAAGTAAAGATGGGAAGGAGTAAGGCAAGGTTGTCGACTACCACCATCTATCATCTTCCTGATTGTCGTCCAATGCACTCGACTAGATCACCCAACAAACAACTGTGAAGAACGAAAAGATGGTCATAAGCCGTGTGGACCGATGAAATAACACCAGAGGAAGATTTGGATCTCCCCAATCATGATTCATGTACAATGTCTTGTTGCACAAACACGAAGATCAACAGGTGAAAGCTAACAAGTTAGCAGAAGAGGGGAGGTGAGGCGGTGAAGGAAGACGGGACTGACTTCAAGTGAACCTAGAGAAGACATAGGTGGTGAAGATACTCAATCACCACCACCATCACCACCACCACCACCACCACCAACAACAACAAGCACCAATCAACAAACACCAATCACCATCAGCGGAAGAAATTGGGAGGACGTTGTCTCCTCCACCTACCCTCCTACCCACCTACCTCAGCACCATCGCTTCAAATACACGTGCGGGGTGGTGGTGGTAGTGGTGACGGCACCGATGACGGTGTCAAAGCAACCAGCATCGGAAAGACATCAACACAGGTCTTCCTTCATTAGTCTGAAATCAACGTGGAGATCTACTCATTTCCACTCCACTCAGCATAAAGCGTCAACAACATCCAGATTTTCAGCATTAATGTCAGTCAAGTCACTGCTTCCATGTGATGGTTGAGACATTAGGCGGCACGTCACGAAACGCATTTTCAACAAGCAACTGGAGACATACACCAACAGCTACTATCTACACTGGATACTGAAGATCAGAAGGTCAGAAAGGATAAGCAACAAGGAACTCTGGGGACGAACTAAACTATCGCCTAGCAAATATGCAGAAGAGGGTGGAGATCGACCGGACTGAACTGAAAATACACTGATGCGACGATTTGGGGACGTCATGCGTCAGGCTAGGCCAGGCCCCATGAGTGGAACCAAAGGGGTAAACGACGAGTTGGGCATCCGAGTGTGACATGGAGGAGATTGTGTGAGGAGGAAATGAAAGCTTATGGGGAGTGGTGGAGCCAGGTTGAAAAGAATGGAGAGAAGGGGGTGAAATGTCGACGTGTTACTGAATCCCTCTGTTCCACTAGGAATCAAAATGACAAATAATAATATGGCGTAAGATATGATTGCAGGTTCACTGACCTGTCACATGACTATCTCATTTATCAAACATATGGAGTATAGGGGTTAGTGGAGTCCCGAACAGCATGTTGGTATCTCTGGTTGCAGCACTGAATAATGCAAATTAGAATCTCTGAAGGAACAATTGTTATCTCAGGGTTTATTCGCTCACACAACTTTGTTTAGTTTGATGTCAGTCTTTTTCTATCCACTTTTCTTTTGTATACTGCTGTGAAATATGGAAAAAATTATCCGAAGCACCTGTGTACGAGTTTCTACCTTGGTTTTGTCAGTCAGCCACTAACGAGTGGCAGCCAGCGTAAAATCTACAGAGCTTCCTATCAACTGGTTGAAGATATCTAGCAAATATAACATGTATATACTTATTCGTTCAGTCAGTGAATTTTGAAAGCAAACTTAAAATTAGTGAATAACGACCCTAGTTACCACATTTCTCAGTAGAATATGAAATGAACAGGTAGTAAAAGAGGACAGGGAAAGAGGAAGGAATTTATTATGAGACCTTAGAAAACCATAAAAGAAATAGAAGATATTAAGAAGACAATAAAATATGATCTCATGATTTAGACAACAATAGTATTTGAAATTATCTTCACTACTATTGATGATCCTGAGCTATGTTATGAACTGACAGAAGTAGGAAATGTGGATCACTGAATTCTGACCCAGTGGCTAAATGGTAACGTACTAGCCAAGGAACCTGAAGGTCCTGGATTCGACCATTGATGGGGATAGTGTCAGGAGTGTGCACTGGTATAGAGTCCCATACTATGGCGAAACATCTGTCCAGTGCTCCCAGGTTTCCAATGTTCCTCCAACTGATGTCAGTTCATGATGAATACCAACTTGAAAAATGACTTTTCAAGCATCTCAATAGGTGACGATTCACAACAGTATAAACTAACTTACCTATGTATATAGGCAATTAGATAAGCAGATGCATTAGTGATTTCGTCTTTGCTGCTTCCCCTTTATCAAACAAAACATTAGAAATAACAAAGATGGAATGAAAGTTTAACAGCACTGAAAGCGCTGATAGTTGTTTGCAACAGAGGTCAATAAACATACCCCTTAGTCACTCTATCTCATCATATGGTGTAATTGTGTCAATTCATGCAGAACGGTAGTCCAGGTTTTTTATAAATTACTTATCCTAATAGGGTCTACTGTTGTATGTTTCACCAAATTTCAGTGTTCTACTATTCTGTCTGACCGAGATCAGATGCTTCGACTTATATACTTGACCTCATAATCATTATGTGGTATTTGTTAGACTAAGCTATTTTTCATTATTGGCTCTACTGAATCTTTTAGTCTACAAAGTTTCTATCTGAGCGAGTTTGTTTGTGCGTTTAAATGTCACTTTAATCCCAGTATTGTTAAGAATTCTACGTAAAATTTTCGATATCCCTTCTTTATATGCTGACACTATATGAGATTTGAATTCCCTTTGAGGCATGTTGGAACCACCACAAACATTACCACTCCTTCACCTATCAGACTTCATAAACTTTGTGATAAATTCAAGAGGGTAGTTATTAAGAAGCAATGTCTTTTTGTTGTGTTTCATTTCCTTATTTAGGTTTTCTGATATTCTAGTCAAACTCCTAGCTCGATTACTTAGACATTTTATCAAGCCTACCTTGAGAGATCTAAGGTGAGATGATGTAGAATCCAAGTATCTATTCGTATGTGTTGGTTCCCTACAAACACTGGTATCTGAAATTCAATCTTTTCTCCTTTTGATTTTGCAATCCAACATACGCAAGTATCCTTCTTCACCTCCTAATTCATAAGTGAATTTGATTGCATATACCGTCGAATTAATGTATGTGAAAAAATCTCTGGATATGTTCTGATTTCAACACAGTAAATGTGTCATCAGTACCATACTTTTAGGGTGTTGAAATGTTCCTAATGCCATTCGTCCCAAGCTGTCCATAAATATGCCTACTACAATTGGAGACATTGGAAATCCTATCACTACTCCTTCTGTTTGTTGATATATTCTATCTTGAAATTTGAAAACTATGGTAGTCAAACACAATTTTATTCCTAATATAATTTCCTCAATAGAAACTTTCCTTCTATTATGTCGCCCTAAACATACTCCTTTATAAGTTTAATGACTTGCGTAAATACAATACAAAGTGTATGGGTTAAAATTGCTACAGTATCTGTTCAAAAATCTAATGATCAGTGGTCTTACTGTTTTGAAAATGACAGGCCTGGGCGATAGCCAACAGGTGAGATTGCACTTCGAAAACTTCATTTGCCAACAAATTTTCACCCTAAAAAGTATATAGAAACCGAAAAACTGCTGTTTTATCACACCTTTTTCGTTTAAAAAGAAACAATTATCGAAATAGATTACAATGAATGATTTTGACATGAAATATTGAAGGTTATCGGAGTGAAATTACGCAGCTAGTTTTTGTTACTACTTACAAACATAAATACGTAGTATCCAGCTATAATTCGTAAAAACTTGAAAATGAAGAAGTATAAATCAAACAGGTTCATTTTTGACCTGAGGGAATGGAGTCCAATGCTTTCATTGAAATAAAAACAGTTACAAAACTCATTGAAGACTCGAAGACTCCCTAATGGAATGGACTATATTAGGTAGGCAGTCCAATAATTTCCTTTAAAATTCACAAGAAAAAATTCATCTAATGACCGCAGGATGGAGACGAACAAATTGGTAATCCGTTCACTTCCAGACCAACTTCAATACTGTTTGGAGTTTAATGGACCGTGATCATGTGGCGTACCTTATCATCAGTGGAAATTCCTCTTATGACTGTAAGAAACACTGGCAATATTTCAGCTAACTCTTTTGAGTTTCCAACCGCTAAACAAACCTCAAAGAACAGACAAAATATAAAATATAAAAACAAACTTATTCCTCACTGGAATCGGAGGCACAAAATGATGCCGCTTGCCGAAAGCCTTCGGGAAGCCAGTCGACCAGTGTGTCTTCTCTCGATGAAAGTGAAAGTGAACGTGGGGACATGGAATGTCCGCACTATGTTTGAACCTACCAAGGTTACCCAGATTACAAAAGAGATGACGAGGTATCACATTGAAGTGCTTAGAATCTGCGAAAGCAGATGGAATGGAAGTTGACTCCCCAAACCGTCAACTGGAGAGTCGATAATTTACTGCGGCCACCTAGACGGCACGATAAACACGAGCACACTGAGTTTTCGAGTGGCCATCACCATGTAGCCAACAGCATGGTAGGCTCTCAGGCAGTGGAAACAAGCCTCCTCCAGGATCATGACAGCAAGACTCAACTCAAAAGGAAGGAAATTCACAACCGTACAATGCTATGCACCTACAAATAATGCAGATGAAGAGAAGAAGGAGGAATTCTACAGACAACTCCAAACAGCACTGAACAAGGCCCCAATCCAGTTGGTGACATCAAAATTCATTCTTATGGCCGACATGAATGCTAAACTGGGAGGGGATAACACAGGACGATACCTAACCAAGGGTGGAGAAGCACTCGGCAAAATGATGAACGAGAATGGGGAACTGTTTGCAGATTTCTGCGCATTCAACGAGTTGGTCATTGGAGGCAGTGTGTGAAATGGTATTCAAACGTGTAAGCAGTATACCTAAAGTTCAAGAAAAAAAAGGTAGTGGAATCTTCTGAAATATGAATGGGGGGGGAAAGAACTAGTTTGCTCAGATGCGTTAAAAATACATGTTCATGACCTAAGTCTAGTTGAAATAGTACTCCCACACCCTTCATTAGAACTCTGCGTAGGACTATACGTAAAAGTTATAAGATTAGAAAAATGATACGAGGACAAAAGATGTCCATACACGATGAATTGTAAAAGTTGTGTTAGGAAATCGCTAGGAGCGTGAGATAGTTCTCAGAAGACAATAGGATACTTCAGCATCTGGAATAGCTGCTTGATGATAAGATAGAAAAAAGGACGTAGTGGCTAAACTAAATGCTTCACGTTCCCAAGTAGTGAGGTCATGGCAACCAATAATTTCTGCTCTCACATATTAGAAGAACAAGCAGAAGTGAGGAGTACGTGTGTCACTACTCTATGGCAATGAAAAAAACGTAGCGCGGTGAGACGTATCTATAGCACAAGACTCTAGTTATTTTAGACTGGTTTCTACTATTAAAACTCTCTTAGCACTATAGATCCTGATAGTGTTACTAACTTTTCCCACCTGAAAGTTATTCAAATCATGAAGCAGACAGTCTTCCAGCTAAAGTCTGGGAAGTCACTAGGCCTGAAAAGACCGTATAGGAGGTTACTGCTACTGTTAGCTGATATTGCTGATGTACCTTTAACTGTACCATGTAACTTGTCCTTATATCAATTACAGTTTCCTAAGAATTGGAAGGTTGTCATAGTTAGCCTAATGTTTAAGGAAGTTAAAAGATAAATAATGACCGATTACCGGCTGGTTAACCTTTCAAGTTAAGACAAAAGATGATGAGCTATTGAGGCCTTTAGAAGCATATAACTTACACAGGAGCAAGATGACTTCCGGACTGGATGTTCTTGTTTGGTAAATCAACTTATAGTAAAGAAGGACTGGATATGTTGTAGTAGTGCTTACTGATTTCAAGAGTGGTTTAAGTGCAGTACTCTACACAGAGCTGAGGAGGAAGATTCAAAAGTTCAATGCTGTCAATTGCCTTCATACTTGAAACAGAGATTGCTTATAGAAGAGAAAGCAAATAGTACAGGTGAATGCGATACTGTCTGAGTGGGAAGCCGTCAAAAAGGATGTTTTGGGGGCATTATTTTTTATCATTTTATTATTTTTCCCTCGGGTTCCTAGTGGAACATACGGCTTCACTAACACGTCTCCATTCCACTCTATTATCTCCAGTCTTCTCAACCTCACTCCACCACTACCCACAAACTCTCATTTATTCCTCACATTATCTCCTCCATGTCACTATCACCTCGGACGCCTAACTCACCGTTTCCCATCTGGGTTCCACTCGACTGCCTGACCTGACGCGTGATGTCCCCAATCGGCCTTCCCAGTCTACATCAAGTCCATCTCCACTTTCCTCTGCATATTGGTTGAGTGATAGGTTGCTGGTTGATTTGTTGTCAGTCAGAGTGACTTCCTTGTTGCTCATTCTCATTATTCTGGCTGTCTGATCTTCAGTATGGAGCCAGCGTAGGTGGCAGTTGTTGATGAATGTCTGCATTCGTTTGTTGGGAATGCTTTTCGTGACGTGTCTCCAATTCTCTGAACCATACATCAGCACTGACTTGACGTTGAGCATTATTTTAGGACCAGTATTTTTATCCATTTGCATTAAGGAAGTGCTTAAGTCATCGTCATTGCTATTTGCTTATAATGTCAAGAACTAGAGGATCATTTGTGGTAATGACAATAGCTGTACACTGCAAGCTGTATCATAGTGCACATTTAGAGCAAATACTTTAGTGGCTATTCAAGGAATGCCTAGAAATCCCTCAGGTTTTTTATTGAAAGAAATTCAGGTTTATCACAAGTCACAACCTAAATATAGCTGAAAGCTGTAATGTTGCCGTAGCTAGAACGTTTCGTTTCGTAGAGCATTTTAATAAAGATCTATTCAGGATCTCATGACCTATATGCGTAAGATTCATTTAGACTAGTGTATACAGGTTAAGCGTTTTCCATCAGACCGATGCGAAAAGATGAAATAAGCGTCCTGGATTTCACCGCTACCCACCAATTAAATTGCGCAAGTGAATGATATCCTTGGATGTGGTTTCGCTCCTCATCAATGTCCCATTCATGGAAACTATCTGTTTCCTATGTGATTTCATCGAAGATAATGATTTTCACGTGAGCATCCCAGAGTACTATTTCAAGAAATTACTCCTAAGATGTACTTTCAGTGTGCAGTTCAAATTCAACAATGATCTATATAGATAAAAGGATGGGGTTGCTACGGGATCACCACTTGGACCATTACTAGCCGATTGCTCTATGATGAACCTAGAAAACAGTGTGTTGCATTCAGTAATTGATATTTACCATCTATACCATCTATGTATAAAATATACATTCATCATATTTGATAAAAATACAGATATTGGGACTGTAGTTAAAAAGTTCAATGACTGTCATCCATAGATCAACTTTACAGCACAATTCGAAGAGGACTCAGAATTCCATTTCCTCGATGTCTTATTGAAAAGGAGACCAGATGATTCTCTTCAGAGATCAATTTATAGGAAGTCTACATGGAATGGATAATACTTGAGTTTCTATAGCATCTTAGCACAAAAAGGAATCTGATCCATCCTTTATATTTTAGGATCATAAGAATCTGCACGGGTGACGCTCTCCACGATGAATTAAACAAATTACGGAAGATTCTCATCCGAAATGGATACCCATCTAGATTTATTGAGAACTTGAAATTAAAACAGAATTCAGAGCAAGTTTTCACAGTTCCAAAGAAGACCTTGTTTATGAAAGCTGGTTTCAAAAGCAATATGACAGCAGTGGTCCTGAAGAATTGGCTGTCCAGATCGCTGTACGAAGTTACAAATCAGCTTCTCTAATCACCAACTGGCTCCGGAGTGCGTTGAGTGCAAGTTGCCACTCTGAACCACATCAATGTGTCTCTACAAATTTACTTGCTCCTGTGGAGCTAGTTATATAGGCCGCATAAAGTGCACGCTTTCCAAACGTATCTGTGACCACCATCCTGCATGGTTTTCGGGGGGAGAATGTAAATCAATTCAATTCTTGAACGTTTAGTCAACTACGGATACATATAGCTCGACTAGAGTCCTCCTTCAGTGTCATTTATAGAGTTAAATGGAATAGTTCAAAATGAGTATGCCTACGACAGTTATGCACCATGGCAGAACCCCTGGCAATTAATCAATTCATACCTGATCTCTGAGTGCAAATGAAGTATGTTCAATCTCTTATCTTACCATGGTCTTAACACTTTCACAAATCTCTGCCAATTTCGTTATAATTAGTTAGTTTATTATTATCACTTCCATTATGACCATTATCTCATTCTTCACCTTCTTTACATCTATCTGTCTATCTATCAAGTGGACACTCCACCAATTTGCGTTTCTTGTCTACCAACAATTTTCATCTAGTCAAACTCCTTGCCTTCCTCGTTATGTCTACTGTCTAAAAGATTATTACGTAACGACTTTGCATTTTTGATCCCGGTCTTTTACCATTAGGTGACTTAATGATGCAAGTATACACTATTGTTTGATAAGACTGTTATATTTAGAGGTAGTATTCATCATGGACTGATATCAGTTGAGGAACCATTGAAAATATGGAGGCACTGGACAGCTGTCTCGTCCTAGTATGGAAACCCTCAGCAATACGCAACCCCCCCCCCACCCAGCTAGAGATCGAACTCACCACCTTCAGGTTTCACGGCGAACGCGTTTACCATTCAGCCACTGGGTCGGTTTTCAGTGGTTCACAATTTCCAACTTCTGTCAATTCACGATGATATAGCGTGACTATCTCCCAAGGTCTTCAGTTAGCACCCACTACACTTCCGACTGGTTGATGCAACAGGTCACGACTTCTCACTAGATCTTCGTGATATCAATCTGGAAGCAAGTCACTAATGTGCACTGTACAGTAATGTCTTTTTGAGATGAATGGGGATTTTAATTCAGAGGTAGTATTCATCACAGACTGACATCAGTTTTAGCTTTAGAAAATGATACTGTTGAAGAAGGAAATTTTCTTCAATGAATTATCTCTTCTTTTCTCTATGACTCGATGCATATATTTTATCGTGTATATAATGGCCGGTCACAGTAAGAAAAAGAGGGTTTTGTATTATCCTACCATACGCTGTCACTGTTGCTGTTGCTTCCCTATACCATCATATAATGGTAATGAATTTATTTCTGGTAATCAAGGAAAAAAGAATTAAGTAATTTTGTGAAATCGGTGAACTGTGTACATATATTGTAGTTGACAATTATTATTAATATTATTATCATTTTCATTATTATTATCATTACTATTATCAGTCGTAGTAGTATTACTAACATATGAAATCTGTGCTTAAAAAAACAACTTACCGGAAGATCTGGATGCAAGACACAATTACCAGTAAACATAGTAGTATAAACAACTTTATCGGGACAATTAGACGACAGTTTTACAAGGAAAGAACGTAGACAACGCCATGAAAGTTTCAACTGTGTTACAGAAGCCATTATATCACACCACTCAGATACTAGAATTATGCCTTAAACAAAGAAATAATTTTCATATAAAGAAATGAAAAATATTCTTTGAAAGTACAAATAATGTGAAAATGTAACTTCAATAATCCTTTGAAATACTTCTACACTAAACGGTTCATTCATAATAACCTGATGTAGAGAGTCAGTAATGCGTTCAGTTAAAGTTATCAGATCATAAAAATAAAAAAGTAATGTATAAGAAGGAAAAGTAACACTGTTTAAATCATGGGCTACCAAAACAACTTTGTACCGATTATGTTCTATTAAATTCTTCCCTTTCAGTTTTTTCATGTATTAAACAAAGAAGGAAGAAGAAATAAGATTAGGAAAGGATCTCGACGGACACATGGAAGCTGATAGAGCAGGGAGAGGAGGATGGTGAAGCAGAAGATTAACCAGTACAAGGATGAACAACAAGAAGAGGAACTGAGTACAATGTATAAAACACTCCACTCCACAATGAAGTGAAGAAGAGTGTGCACAAAGACAAAAGACACTTCTACGATACACTTGCAAGTGAAACAGAATACGCTGCAGGTTGCAGAGACAGACATCTGACAACATTATATCAAATAATCAGGTTGCTATCTCAGAGGGAAGAGATCAACGCAGATGAAAACAGTGAGAGGGAGTGAAGGGAACGTAGTCACCAAAAGGGACAAACAAAGGAGACAATGGGCTGACAACTTCAAAAAGCTCTTGAATCGACCACCACCACCACCTACAACTCGTCCGGAAATACCACCAGCAACGACAGAAGTACAAGTGAACACAGGCCCTCCGACAAAAGCAGAAATCTGCTAAAGCAGCAGCACCAGATGGAATTCCTCCAGATGCACTCAAAATAGACACACAGACAACAGCGGATGTGCTCACACCACAACACTACTGCAGAAGGTTTGGAAGGAAGGAAGGGTGAGGCACTTTCGATTGGAAGAAGAGCTACCTTGTCAAACTACCAAACCAGCGAAGAGGAGTGACCTAAGTCTTCACAAGAACTGACGTGGAATCATGCTCCTGTCCACCCCAAGAAAAACATTACGCCACATCATCCTGGAGGGAATAAACCAAGCGATGGATTCGAAATTACTACCGGAACAGGCTGGCTGACTGGCTGGCTGGCTGGCTTCACAAAGAACAAATCATGTGCGGAACGAATTACAACGCTACTCTACTCATCATCATAGAACGCAGCACAGAATGGAAGTCGACTCAAATCAACTCAACCTCAACTTCATCGACTTTGAAAAGTTCTTCAACAGCATTGGTCGAGAAGTAATTTGACACACAACTGCTTCAACACTACGGTTTTAGTGCCACTAACATTTATCGACCTCATTCAACAGCTATATGCTATGCTACATGTCGAGTACTACATGCCGAGTGATTCACAATGCAAAGCTCAGTGAAGCCTTTGGAGGGAAGACAGGAGACAGGAGTAGGACAAGGCTGTCTACTATCACCCATGATATTCCTGAACCTGGTGGACTGGATCATGCAACAGACAACTGTGAGGAGCGAGAAGACGGGGATACGCTGGACCGGGAAAAACATCACTAGAATATTTGGATTTCGCCGTCGATGACTTGTGTCTAATGTCACACAAACAGAAGAGGCGAGGTAGGGAAGATGGATCTGACTTCAGGTGAACATAGAGAAGACGGAGGTGACCGAGTACACAACCAACCAACAACAAGCTCCAATCACCATCAACGACAGAAACTTAAAGGAAGTAGTCTCTTCCACCTATCTAGGCAGCATCGTTTCAACTACAGGCGGTGGCACACACGAGAATGTCAAAACCAGGATTCGGAAAGCAAGATAGGCTTTCATTAATCTAAAATCAGTGTGAATGTCTACTGCACTCAGCACAAAGCATGAACAACATCCCGCATTCAAACATCAATATCAGTCAAGTCAGTGCTGATGTGTGGTTCAGAGAATTGGAGACACGTCACGAAAAGCATTTCCAACAAACGACTGCAGACATTCATCAACAACTGCCACCTACGCTGGCTCCATACTGAAGATCAGACAGCCAGAATAATGAGAATGAGCAACAAGGAAGTCACTCTGACTGACAACAAATCAACCAGCAACCTATCACTCAACCAATATGCAGAGGAAAGTGGAGATGGACTTGATGTAGACTGGGAAGGCCGATTGGGGACATCACGCGTCAGGTCAGGCAGTTGAGTGGAACCCAGATGGGAAACGGTGAGTTAGGCGTCCGAGGTGATAGTGACATGGAGGAGATAATGTGAGGAATAAATGAGAGTTTGTGGGTAGTGGTGGAGTGAGGTTGAGAAGACTGGAGATAATAGAGTGGAATGGAGACGTGTTAGTGAAGCCGTATGTTTCACTAGGAACCCGAGGGAAAATTAATAATAATACTAAGTTCTTTCCTTTCAGTTTCTTTTCGTTTATCGAGTGTCTATTGTTGAAGTGACTGCCTATTTTCACTGCAAGGATACAACTTCTTGATCCTTTTTTTGTAGGTGAAAGAAAAATTAGACAAATTATTTCATATCAACTAACAACTAAACATGTGATTATCCTGTTCGTATCAGATGTGATAAAAACTTTTTCATTTGTCTATTGTTATATTGCTTGGTGCAGGGTTGCTAGCTTTCTTTCACATCACTGAAAGCATATGCAAGAAAACATTCTTCGTATACAGTGAGAAACAACGAAGGACAATCTAATCAAAGATAATAGTGATGATACATTATGACAAGGTTTCAATTTACAATAGCATATTTTTACTTGGTAATTATTGAAGGTGAGATGAGAATCTGGACCGCGGCCGGATTCGAATCAGTGACCACTGGGTTACCGGCCGGTTCTCTACCAACTGAGCTACTAGGTCCGACTGCTGACCAGAATTTTATTTCGCTTCAATCACCAAGAATTTGCTTAGCCTTTCTGATTCAGTTAGATTTGGATTTGAATGAGAAGTCCTGACTGACTAAGCAGTCAGTGTGAATACGATCAAGCGGTAGTAACGCGTCAAGGATCCACATGGTAGTCGGGCGAAACCCTTGGTGATTAAAGTGAAATGAAATTCTGGTCAGCATTCGGACCTCGTAGCTGAGTTGGTAGGGCACCGGGATGGTAACCCAGTGGTCGCTGGTTCGAAACCGGCCGCGGTCCAGATTTTCATCCCATCTTAAATCATCACCCAGTACAAATACTAGTCTGCGAAACTACGGCAGTCCAATCATAATCAATAGCATATTTGTAATCAGTAAAATTTATTGTTTTGATAAAAAGAATTTGAGAAATACAGTTTCATAATCACATACACACACACACACCCATACCCATATACAAAATGACTATAAAAGCTATCAGTTGACATAAATACATAAATGCATGATAAATATTTTATGATACGCATAGTGTAGACATCTATCAAAACTGGTTGACAAGTTAAATTAATGAAGGTGATAATCAACACATACACGATACACATGGCAGCCTGCATAAATCTTGGGCTACTAAAAAAAAGCTTTCCACTGATTATATTCCATCGAATTCTTCCCTTTCAGTTTGTTTTTATCTTTTAAATGTCTTCTAAACATAACATGTACTCTTACAAGTTTTGAAAATGTTTTTAAACTTTAGTTTCTCAAGTTAACAACAAAACAAAGTAAAAATGTTCTACAGGTTGCTAAGATACCTGTATGGGATTGTAAATTTCTCTGCTGATTGGCTGACTAAACTACAACTATCAAAATTACACTCCATGTTGTGTTAATTTCCGAATTGATAATAGATGTTAATGTATAACTAGCTGCCCGTTTCACAATTATGTCTTCAGTAGTGTAATTATTAACACTATGTAGACGTAATAATTATTTCTTCTAACAAATATTGTACGGAAAAAAAATATGTTGAAATATTCCATACTGTATCATACATATTGTTTGGAATAAAGCGATTATTATTAGTATTATTATTAAAGAAACGATATAGGAAGTTAACGAAAGTATGGTTTACAAGGTCTACGAAATATACTCATTACTCTGCCTAAATGATGTTGACGATATTAAGGATTGCTAGTGGTTAGTAATAGAATCCAGGAGAAGTGCTTGTCTTAATTGTGACTTGTCACCTGAATATACGTGAATCCTGGAGAATGATAGTGCTTTCACTGTGATCTTTAGTCAATGACTATCCATTCCTTCAAATCCCGTAGCGTCTTCCATAAAGTTACTGATTCACTATAACTACTCTATTTCTAAAATAGGTATAGCTAGAAATTGTAATGATGAAAAAGGTTTATAATTTAGAATAAAGATGATGATGATGATTCAGTGTTCTCTGAACACCAAATCACCATTATTAGAACTTATTATCTCCCAATATTAACTGATTTATAAAAAGAGAAAATCTGAATACTGAAGACTATCCTTTTCAATAAATTGTCTTCAGATTATACAATTATAAAATGGATTTGTACAGCGTAAAAAGCAAGCCATATTACCGGTAGGTACAGTTTGAAAATAGAGTGAGAACTAGAGATTGTAAGGATATCTATCAATTTATCTTTTATACATTTGTCAATATTCGAATGATACATATACAGATGAATGATATGATAGTGAACAAAACGATAATGAGTAAAAAGGCAGTAATGTCCTTCAGTTTACTGAGTGCCAGGGAAGAAGTAATGCTTGAACATGTTCTTCTTGAATGTAGAGTTTAGACTTGATGAATGTTGTTGCAGCAGCCTCCGGTATGTTGAGCAGTCGCTGGCAAGCTACATGTGATGTCGTTTTTATGAACATGATGAATGATAGTGAAAGCTTTATTAGTATGTATGCGATGTCCTGTGTCTGTTAGATGAGCTAGGACTGAACTTCTCATTGCATTCACTTCACTTTTTTCGAACCAAGCTGGTAAATGTTCTTGTATCCAGAGAGGCACCTACCTAATCGTCCGCCACATGTAGTTAGTTCCACAGAAATGGTTAAATTGATATATGCAAGATGAAGAA